TCGTGAGACGAATCGTGTTGTCTATCGCGTAAGTCCACGCGCTCCACGGTCTCCGTCGCGTTCAATTAGTCCTCGTTATCACGGCTTCTGACTCGCGCAGGAAGGAGGCGTGATGTGCCGCATAACGCAGAGGAGAAGAAGGGAGGGATAACATTGACTTAAATGCAACCGAGATTTTTTCCGGCACTCGGTACGCGCTCGCCTTTGCGTGTCGGTGCATCATCGCGACGCATAATTGCATTTGATATGTTTCATGTGTTACAATTCCGCAGTCGCGACTATCTCCAGGACGGATGCGGAGCGTGAGAATTCCCAGATGTACTCGCAAAATATTCCAATCTTCAGACACCGCCCGGCAAAATCGGGATAATTGAATAGTCAAAACGCGCGAATTCAGATAAAGCAGATTGCCGGAGTTTATTTTAGATGTTGATGCTGCTCTGCAATTACAGAGCGCGTTCGATAAAATTACATTTTCAAATTCGCTTAATTAACCGCGGAATCTCTACATTCTATATTTCTAACCCAGTTTTCGCAAAGATATAAAAAAATATTTTTGTCTTTTCAAAATGTTTCAGTTCGTATCTATATTGATGCAGTTCGTATCTATATTGATGCAGAATTTTCTTACGTGGCACTGTGTTAATTTTTAATATAAAAATCGAACGTATGTATATAATTAAGTTTCAACGTATATAATGTATGTACATGTAAAGACTTATGGTACGTAAAAATGTACAGATCGGTCAAGAAGTGTTTCAGAATTCAAGTTGACACATGTACTCATGCGAGGGTTAATTACAGAATTATATGTGCAGACATAGCTGGCCAACCGCTAGTCCATACCTTTACAGATCAATATGAATGTATGTAATTATGTTTGAATATAGAATTACTGTTGAATTGGTCTGATGTAATCCGGTATAATATAGGAGATATCGGAATATTATATAGATTGGATATATTCGAATACTCTGAATATTCTGAATTATTCTGATGCTTTTGGAATACTTTAATCAAAAGTTGTATATTTTAATTTGAGATCAAAATATATTCACACCCTTCAAGTTTTTCTCATTTAAAAAATATAAAAAAATGATAATTCACTAAATTTAATTCCAGTGTGAAAATGAATCCACATTGTTTTGTCCTTTGTAACTTTGTAAAATATAAACAGTTGTCATTTTAAAACAATTTTGAAAACAATAACGAAAAAAAAAGAATAAGGAGAAATTAATCAATACTCTACATTTTGAAAAAAAATTGGAGCTTTTTGAGGCAAAATAGCGGCATAAATCACTTTTCTCATTTTGAAAAAGTTATAAAAGTTTTTGTCGAAAATAAAGTTCGATCACTTTATTGCAATACTATTTTTATGATTCTACAAAGCAAACAATCCAACATTTTATGCCATTTCAACGAAACACGTTCAACGGAATGTCGAACTTTTATTTTTACTGCCTTATGCCACGCTATTTCGTCCAACGTGCTTCGTGTATATAGCTCCATAAAATATTAAAATTTCTTTGACGTGAAACATGAGAACGAATACGGCTATGCTATTCGAAATGCTAAATAATAGGTACCACTTTTACACATCTTCGTGAATCGAGTAGTTAAAGACACGAAACAGTCACTTGTGCGATTTCGCTACTAATCTCTTTATTCCAACTTTTTAACTTACGATTTGATATCCAATCGATATAGATAGATGGTATGTCTCGGGCATGTGTTTCGCGTTCGATAATCCTCTTCAAGATTATTATATTATTTCGAAATTACAAGACTCGAAGCGCTAAATCCACTTCACAAATTACTGCGGGTTTAAGTCCATCTAGCGCCGTCGCAAGCGGACGACTGACTTGCTATAGCATGGATTACGACTTATATAACGAATGCTAAGGGTGAATTGCTTATAGTCTCTATCGATTTCTTCATGAATGAAAAATGTCACTGACGTTGACAACCGGTCGAGTGTCAAGGTGCAAACAATAGCGACTTCCGAGGCAACATGACCTATACAGAGAGAGAGTGTCGCTTAAAGCACGGTGTGAGAATAAAGCTAGGTTCATAGTAAAAGGGCACGTCTCTGTAGCATCGCGTCAGCGCCCATTTATCGCGAGACACTGTATTTCATCTGCAAAACGCGTCCCACTCCATTACCAGAGCATATCCCGGTCTCGGAATGCCTGCTGGTATTTCTGAGCGAAAAGACAACGAGGCGACTACATTACAAGGTACAAAGATTTAGAGGAACAGCAAAGATAAGAGAAACAATTTTTATAACAAATTTTTTCTGCATACCAAGATAATCGTAATATTAAAATTTATATTTTCTTCTGCGACTTAAAATTAAAAAAAAAAAAAAAAAGATTCAATAAAAGCCTCAAGCCTCTTATTTTCAAGTTATAATCGCTCTATTTCGTTTCCTCGCGATGCATAGCGTAGAAGAATTAAAACGCAATACAAATTTACTGGAATGCCAATCAATTAACCGCATTCGCTGCACGTTGCCTGCACGTCCCGAATTATAATTCCGAGTTTAACTTTCATTATTGAAAGTAAGTTTGGCTAAAGCCGGCCCTCTCGTTAATATTTCATCGACCGTGCTCGTCGGCGAAAATAAACGGACACCTCGAGTTAACGCCTCTATCTACTCAAGCTCGCGCCTTTAGCTACTCTTATGCGTAACACACACGCTACCGTATTACGGCCCTTATCGATTTTCTTTCAACTGGAATAACTCGCGCCTGCCATTTATTGTTAGTCGCAACGGCTGTTTAAAAATAGCGTCGGATTATTAATTGGCGTCGATCCGATGTCTATAAACCGTAATAACCCATATTCACTCGCAGGAAGTAAGAATCCAGCGTGCCGATTCTTCTGCTCTGATTAACAGAAGCCGTGTCTCCTGACACGCGGCCGCTCCTTTTCTTTTCTCTATTTTTTTACGCGTCCCGATTATTTTGTTCTCTTTAATTATTTCTCTTCAACCCTCGAAATGATTTAATCTTATTATCCACGCAATCCTATTCATCCGAGCGGTGGTGCTCGTTAAACGAAATATATATCATGTTACTTTATCGCTTTGTATAACGGAGGGAGAGCTTTATTTATTCTCTCGTTTTTTAAAACCGAGAAGCGAACGACCTGTGCAATTTGAGGAGTGTAACGAGCTTGTGATATCTCTGAAACGCAGCGAGAAAAAAAATCTTCGTGGATCATCGCGTTTGGTAAAAAATATAAAAGGTCGCGTGTATATATGCATCAACTGCGACGATCAAACGGCGACTAAAGCGGTTAAAGCAAGCTGTACGTTTCCTACATTTGTACCAATTTGATATCAAACATTTGCCTTTCCGTTCCGCAAAATTGCGGAAAAGAGCTGATTTAAGTATTCCGCGGGAATAAAGATTTTTTTTCAATGAAAAATAAACCTTGATGGAAAGAAGAAGACCCTTGACTAAAAGAAATTATCATAATTTGATAGTTCGCACTGTGCATTATAAAAAAAAACGCACTTAATCAATTGCGGTAAATGTAATTCGAATTTTTCGAAAGAGTGATTTTCGAAATTGACATCTTTATTAATACGCGACACAAAACAAATTTTATATTGTCATGGGCAGTTGCCAGCATCGATATCGATATCGATATCAATATCAATATCAACCTGACGCTTATATATATATAACAAGGAAGAAATTTTACAGTTCCACAACATGTACTTGATCCATTTTTCATTCGAAATTGCATTTAACGCGAGTGCGCTCCATTAAGTCCTTGATATACGATATATATTGTAATAAAACACATGTTGCGATTGTTTTCGCGAACATATTTTACATGAAAGAAGAAATCATTTTTCATTAGCTCGCGCGCGTAAATGGAAATGCGATTTAATAAAAGTTGAAAAATTTTTCTCCGCTGCACCACATTCCGTAGGATTAATTCCAGATATTTCTCACGTCTCGCTGTATCGCGAAGAACGGTCGACTTTTTGGTCGTATCAGCAATTACCAAACACCCCTTTCACCCTGTTACAGAGCACCGATGCACACACACACACACACAAATATACAAAGGGCACAACGAGCGTCTATGTCCGTGTACGTGTATACAGTTATGCACTCGGTCCTCTCTCTATACTCTATGCCACTAGTATTGTGCAGCATGACTAATTATATCTTAGCCCGCGGCGGATCTCGTTGCGCGGCTTCACGAGAGGCGGAAAGCACCCTATTAAACCTCAGGCTTTACCTTTCGCGCGAACAAGAAAACCTCGAGACTTCAATACGACTGTGCCGAGCTTAAGAAAGGGACGGTAGGCATTCGTGCACTCTAATCCCCTCGATCTTTCCATACTTTGTTTCGCAGCCTACACTTGGCACTACCCTTCTTAAGAACGAGAGTACGTGCGCGCATCTACTTAACGCTTGCAGCAATTTTTAATATTTCTCTCGAATAATTAAAATTTTTGATTAAAAAAATATAAAATATTAAGTAAAAAAGAAAGATTTTTTTATAATTATCATGTTTTGATTAGATTACTTACTTGGGATGAAATTTCAAATTAATTAATATATTTTTATTCGTAATATTATGCAAAGATAAATTTCTCTTATTTATATCTTGAAAATTGTGGTAATCGTGACACAATATGGTTAGAAGAATTTTATAAGAGTTTCTCTGATGAAATATTGTTACCACAATAGAAAATAGTAATATCTACCACAATAAAAATATAAAATATGTTTTATTAATTATACTACGTACAAATAATATCTTTTATGAATCATAGAAACTCTTATAAAATTCTTCCAATATCATATTGTCCCATGATTATCATGATTTTCAGGGTAAATTCTAAGAGAAAATTCTCTACGTGTATCTTTATGCAATAACTTGAAAATAAATGTATAGAATTTTTAATTTGCATGTGAAATGTTAGGAAGCGATAGGAATGGCTTAGGACATGCGCGAAATTAGGACGCCATCAGTTTACGCTTTTAATCTTTTAAGTATTTATTTAAACAAATCCCAACATTCCAAACATTGATAGATGTATATACGTGTGGGTGCGTTTTTGTGTTTTGCGCATTCCCCATAGACATAATACAGATCATGGCAGCATAGTCGGATATCCCTTAGGCTATCTGTATTATGTCCATAGTATTTTCTTTCTTTCTTTCTTTTTCTCTTGTTAATTCTGTATGTATACCCACTGTCACAAAAGTACCGCCACTTCTTTCATCTACGGATCCTCTAATTAAATTGCTTTCTCTTAGAACTTAATTGAATGTCTTAAAATCCTCTTTTTATATAATTTTGTAAATATCCTGAAAGATAAGAGAGAGGTTTTCTTTGTCATTAGCAGTTTTGTTAATTAGCACTTTGGTTCTCCAAAAAAAAGAAAAAATCACATCCCTTTTCGCACACTGAAAATTCAACGATGGCTTGAATTTGAACGTTTCCATCGAGAAAGAATCGATTTCCAATCGATTGAAGAATTTGCAAACGAAAGGAACGGCGGTAGTAAACAGCTTTTGACAAGGCTCGATCATCACCTTTGCCTGACGCGCAAATGACAATGAAACTTAACCCTCTCCACGGGGAGGTACGATGCAAATGAAGCTAATTTAACGATCGTATCCAAATTCGACGAACAGCTGTCTGTTTACGTAGCGCTTCTCGGATCGATCAGCAAAACGAGGTTCCTCGCGATTTATTACAGCGCGTTCGATACTCGATCTCTCTCTCTCTCTCTCAATTATATCTTTATATACGCAACATACACACATACCTTAACATCGTCAGCGTCTCACCGCTAAACGATAACGCACGCGAAGTGCAATCGAATTAATTATGGCAAGTTTCCCCGTGACTAAGTTAATTAGGAGTTAGGTTACTTACGGTGTGTGGCCCCACTCGCGATTTCTCTTCCTCATTTTCTCGAAAAGTTTCTTACAGGGGTGCTTACGACGATATGACGCTCGTCTTCTCTCTATTCGATGCTTTATGCGACATATCTTTCGACTTTTGAGTCGCGAGTCGATTCTTGTTTTCCGGTTTTCGATTACATTCCGTCAAGAAGTGTTGTGCGTTCCATTGCGTGGCATGCGTAACGTGACAAACTAAAATCAAAATCTGCCTAAGTCCAACAAGTTCGTATCTTATTTTGCATACAAAATGTGTGTCTCTTCAGTTTTATATAGTACTTTAATAATAGAACCTCTGAGAAATCTCGCAACGATATTATATCTAATAGTATCTTTAAAGTACCGCTTAGAAATTTGACTCTAAATGTCTCTTTTCTAATCTGTTTAAGAGTTTAGAAAGATAAGCAAAATATAAAATAATTAAATTCAAACTAATAACATTGTATATATGTATATATATTATTATTAATATTATCATTATTATTATTATAGTAACCAATTCGACACGTCTAAGCACCCCAGAAAAAAAATATAAATTAGAATATATAAACCCGAATATTTTTCGCTTTTGAATTATTAATTTCCAATATTGAAATTTACAATGTACAGGTGACTCTCAAAGGAATTGAAACTTTAACTTACCTACACTAATTCCATTATTATTAATAAGGGCTGATAAAGTTAAACAGTATTTTTACGAAAAAAAAGAATAATAATTTTAATTTGGAAAAATCTATTGTAGAATCTTTATGAAAGTTATTAAAATAGAAAGATTTTGAAAAATAAATTCAAGCACAAGTAAAAATTTAAATACGAATTATAAGATGAAATAAATCAACTTGAAACAAATAAGTTTCTCCACTACTAGAGTAATTCATAGCATTATATTACAAGACAATCTCCGATTGGTCAAAAGTAGGAACTCTTTATCTAAACACTTCTCTTTTATAACAGTCGTCAAAAAGTTGTGGGAAATTTATAACTTTCTCAAACAGTGCAACTTTCTCTTTCTCTTTCCAGCCCCCCAGGTGAATATTAAAGTTAGAGAAAACTCATACCGCAATACATTCTGACAAATGTATACGTTATAAAGATACTCGAGTGTATAACGTATAACGCAGATATACAGTCTTTTTAATAAAATGCTAAAACTTTGTGTATCAAATTTTTCTTGGCGAATGCAACTTTACGTTATAAACAGCGACAATTATTCAAACAAATAGCGGAGAGTCACCTGCATCCTCTCGAATACTTTCCCGCTGCCATTAAACCGTTTAGACCTATCTCATCTCATACGTGTCTCTAATTCCTTGTATAAGATTACATACACCCTCGCACACAAACATACGCCCCATTACACCAGCGAGAGTCATCTCATTTTACAGAATTCATTTTCTTTTCTATCCTCTTTTTCTTACTCTTTTTTTTCTCTCTCCGTCGTTCTGTCACGTCTTTCTTCACACACATACATATTAATAGCTAGTCATCCTCGTCGTTTTTACGAATCTAAAAGTCAAAGTCCAAGACTACCAATTCCTCGATTAATTCCATTTAGTGTTATGGCAGATGCGGACCGAATTAGCCCGAATTAGCACCACGACAGGTACCGTATATACCTTGCCGCGAGATGTATGTAATGTCCTTTGCATATTTTTTTTATTCCTGAGATTACATCAATCCCCCGTTTTACATTAAAACAACCACCGGATCGGATCCAGCTGAAGAGTCGATAAACGAGTGTCGGCCGGTCCGTGAATTTCAAGTGTCAGACGTTACCGTCCTTGATGGACGGACGAAGATTCACGTCTCGGAAGGGATCACTACGAATCTCCTGTCTGTTTCGTAGTATTTGCATTCACCGAATCGTGATGCAGGATGCGAATCACAACCCGAAAGCCTCAGTAAGAAACTCCTCTCGAAAACACACTTCCTAACACTTGCACACGACACATTGTACGACGTTTACAGCTAGTAAAAATTATGTTTCACCTTTTCTTCAGGATGTCACGTCGTATCACTCGTAGCGAAGAACGCGCGAATTAATATTAAGTTTGATCGTCGATTTTAAGCCAAATCCATTTCTAAGAATCAGTGGTCTAGAATATTTTTCAGAACAAGAACAGATATCGAGAAGAGAATTATTTTCGCAAACAACAAAAAAAGCGTTAAAGCAATTCGCGTTTTTCATCTCGCAATAAATAATAAATCAACCGATGATTGCAACGAGAATACGCGCTCTATTCATTTTCGAACGCGAAAGTAATCCAGGAAAACGGTAAAATTTCATTATATAGAAACGAAATTCGCTTCGACAGTGACTGAGAGAGCGTATCTTCTCGCGCCTCGAATATCCGATTATAATCCGAGTTCAAAGACGCTCCTCGCTACACTTGATCTCGATCGACATCGCCTTTCTCTCTCTCTCTCTCTCGTTGCACTCTCACGTTCTCGGCAAACCGCCCACTCTTCAACATCAAAGTTCTCAAGAGACTGAAATCCTCCCTCTTGCTCTTCACCCTTATCTCCTCCTTTACTTCCCGTCTATCACACGGAGATCTCTTGAATCTGCACGCGCTTCTTCGCGCTACCGGGTGTCCCAGGCTGCCGAAGAATCCCGGGGCACGTGAGGTTGACGTTGGGCGCCGGAGCTTTGGGCGGCGGTGGCGGTTCCGGAAGTTCCTCGTTCTCGTCCTCGCTGTCATGGTGGTGGCGAACACCGCCGACCTCGCCGCCGCTGACCTCGTCCATCCGGGCGATGGTCGCGTCCACGCAGGGCGACGGAGTCCGAGTACGCTGGATGCAGGAGCTCTTGCTGTAAGATGGCGGCTCCAGGATTCGCTTACCGCCACCGGGCGGAGGCGAGCACTGGAATTCTTGGAGCTGCAGCTCGAGCTCCTGCACGAGTTTCGCCTTATGCGGCAGCATCGACGACGACGAGTCCATCAGATTCATGGTAGGCGGCAGTCGCTGCTTCCCCGTCACGTTGATCCCGGAACAACCGGCCTCCAGCAACTCCTCCTTCTTCTTGTTGCCGAAGGCGCCGCCGCCGGACGCGTTCCGATCGCGCTGATGATAGATCCCCGCGAAGATCAGGATGTTGAGCAACAGCAGAAACACACCGACCGCGATGGTGACCGTGAGGGCGGTGGTGTAGCTCTGATAGTGGCTGGACGCCAGTTTGCGGAGGAGATTATTGGGACCCGGGCCCAGATTCGAGTGCTGCAACGTTCGCGAGGTTGTAGGGGTGATGGTGGTCGCGACGGTCGCGTTCGGGGTGCATTCCGTGGTCGACAGCATGGTGAGGATCGAGGACGGTTCCGTAGGAGATGGCATGGGTAGTGGAGGCGCCGGTAAGGGTACGGCCGCGCTCTGCGGACGCACCGCACCTTCGTAAAGATTGGCGTTGTCCGAGAGATGGTGGTGCCGAAAGCTGGTGTCGAAAGCCGGCCGATGCAGCTGCGGCAGCAGGTTCAGCCAAAGGGACATCTTGTGGCCCCTGTAATGCGAACGCATCTCCGTGCTGTGGCCGGCTTCCAGGTATAACTGGTTTATAGAGTCGTACGAATCCCAGAACGGCGGACTCGACGTCAAACCGTTCTCCAATCCCGAGGTCAACGGACTCACGCCATTTGGATCCCTAGAACAACGAGTGTAACCGCGACCCTTTGACATATGGACAGATATCTGCCTGTTGCTGATGTGTCGCTCTGTTTTTTGGAAAATATAATCATTGATTTTTTCTTTGCCAATTAATCTCGAAAAATATATTATCACGATTAATAATTGAGAAAGGCAGAAAGAAAAATTGGAAAAAATGGAATTTTGTGGGTTGCGAGATCCTAAGCGAACGTCTCTCAGATTCCTGCACGATAATTCGCCACTGACAAAATCCTTTGAGAAAATTCACCGTGTCGATGACAGAGTAATCATCCAGATAGCCACCGATCCGCAATTAGAGAAGCCAAAATCACTTCGCGTCTTCTCCGCTAACAACTCTACTCTACTTCGAGATTGCGAGCTTTCGCTGAGCGCGTTAACGGCCTTTGCGGGAGTTTGGCTCCAAAATCCTTTCACAGCTGTAACTTTACCCTACTACCACTACCAGTCTGCAGCAGACTCTCCTTACGGAAGGTAATCGAAGTGTATGCGATGCTTAAGTTCCAAAGAACTTTGAACCGGGTAAATTAACGAGAGAGGTTCACTTATCCGATTATCCCTTTCGCACCTAGTTATTTCGCATCGTCGTGTCACCGAGTGATGACTGTGAGTTGTCGGACAAATTTCATAAAAAAAATATTCAAATACTAATTCAATTTTTTATTCTTTTTCGCGATATTTTCGCAAACTTTATTGTAATTAAAAAAAAAGTGAAATATCTATAAAATGTCCCTATATATTTGTGACGAAACTTTTAATTTCCAAATAGCGATATACATGATTAACGACGTTAATTTAATAGTCAGACAAGAACGATAGAGAGAAAGCAGAACTTACCCGCGTCTCACAAAGTTAGCCAAGTAATGCACGAGTAGCTTGGACAGATTCTCGTCGGCGAAGGTGTAGTTGACAGAGCAGGCAGCGCGGACGTGACTTCCCCACGGAGAAGAGGCATACCCAGGAGGTAGGGCACTTCCTCGCCCTTCTGGCTCGGTCGTTCGCCAGGCTGGAAGTGCAGGAAGTAGCCCCGTCCCTCCGAGGTGGAGTGAAGCAGAGCCAGTTTAAGGAGCGGCGCGGCAACTTGACCGTCTCCGAGGAGAGATAAGAGGCCCTCGCAGATCGCCACGTAACTCTGCTCGCCTCGCTCCCAATCGGTGTACTCGTTCCGAAGAGTCGAATAGATTTCATGCAGATGAAACCGATAGGTGTTCCGGACGTAGGTGCGCAATATACGATCCCTCCTAGTTTCGTTGAAGCCTTTCTGCGAATTTGTAAGAGTTGTCTGCTTTCACGAACGCGGAAAGTAGCGGATCGTTCGAATATTTGACACAAGAAATACGTTTTTCTTTTCCTTTTTTTTTTTACGAATTTATCTCACTGTATAACGCAATTTCTTTCGATCGCTAATTATTAGGAGCATATGAGTATCTGTAGGATTTTTCCAGAGAGGAGCATATTATTATTTTTTTCTTAATTTTTTAAATTCAATTTTTTATTATTTTGTTATTTTAATATTTTTATATTAAATAAAATTGCAAAAGTTTCAGTGTTTATTCACAAGGTGAACAAATAATGTTTAATTGCGGACGCTCATGATTAGGAGGTAATTGTCGGGAAATTTTACTAGTGCAAATAAACAAATCACGCTCGTTGCAATAAATGCGTATGGATTATTGATCCAAATGCCATTATAAGGTAGGAAGATGAGTGTCATATACAATGCAACTCAGTGGCCGTGACCATCAGAGAGTCAATAATATCCGGAACGCGATCGGCGAGGGCTGAATCGTGATGCGATGGGTATAGCTCATTAATTTGTCAAATTATATCCCATCGATGTCAATTACATATTATGCACGCGAAGTGTCGACCATTAATCAAGAAATCATTTCCGCCTCGAACATGAAATTTTTTAATAAAATCGATACGGAAATAAAAAAGAGTATACGCGTAATAATAGTAACGGAGAGAAGAATAGATAAAAAAAGTTTGAAACTTTTCATTCCTTCTTTTTTCTTTTCGTACATACATTATGAAATATGTATGTATAATCTGTGAAAAATGATCCCTCTAATAGGAAGAAGAATTATAAAAACGAGCACAATACATAGTTCGTATATTTTTTTATACGTATTTTTATACTGGATGCTTTCCATAAATCAATTCACGCTGATGTAAAACTGTACCTGTAAATCTTCCTCGGTGAAATTTACCCAGGCTTCCTCGGACGTTAAACCAAAGAGTAAATCACGATTGCCAAAGTCCGCGAATTCGGTGCCGGGTCCGGGAACGATCGGCATTATTCCCGAAGAAGAGGCAGTGGGCTGAAAGTTCTAATCAAACCATTTTTTTACGTTTAAGAACGTGCATATCGATAAACTTTGCACGCAGTATTTTCATTTTCAATTTTTCCTGTTTTCTCTCTCTCTCTCTAGCTCCGTCGTTGCTAAATAAATCTCCATCAAAGGGAGGAAAATGTAATAATAATTTTGCTTTATATTCTCGTAATATCAAAGATTTAGCCGCGCCATACATTTGGCCGGAAATAAAAATAGAGATACCAAGATTTTCAATAGAGACATATTTGATCACTTTTTTCAGTAGTTTATGCACCTGCGTTCGTACATCCTTCCCGATTTCGCGTTATACCCGAGTTTGGGATCGTGATATGCGAGTAACCAAATAGACTATCGAGGGATGAGTTAATGGAGCATGCACAAAGTACTAGCTATTACGAATTCTCGAATCCGTCATCCGTCAACCGGTTGCCGTTCAATTAGCAGATTCATCGTTTACTTGTCATCTCGTTCGCTCTTGCACAAAATCAATACGCCGGCCGGCTCGTCGACGACGGGGGCTAATATCCGCATACAATTACAACATTTGCAAATTCCGTAATCGTCTAAATGAAACGCGCATCGATGCCGATGTTTACTTAGCCCCGTTATATTTATTTACGTCGCGTATGAAGCGGTGGAAATTCCACGTGTAATTTGCGTTTAAACGGCCCCGCGCTAAAACGACGTATATATCTCCACGAAACGCGGAGAATGTAAATGCAAATTTTAGGAAAAACATCCAAAGCGACGCTGAAACTGAAACGTTGCACCGGACGTTCCGAAACGACAGATAGCATTAGCGGTGTCACGTGCAAAAAAAATGCTACAAAAATGTTAGTACGATATTTTTATACCCATCCCTGCCAAGATCAACTTTAATCTCAGAGAGTTCATAATTGATTCGCGACCCCCTTTTCAGTTCCAATAAAAAAAAAATAGCCGAATAGTTCGATCAAACTGCAGATTAAACAAAAATATCAATCGCTAAATAATTAATAGCGCATTCAAAAACCGAAACAATCGAGCGAGAAATGGGAGGAGTGCAACTATTGTTTACTATATTGTTTTATCTCGAGACTATCGATTACCGAGACAAATAGTCTCACCTGATTGACAGTGGGTGGTAGAACGGCCCCGTCGATAAAGGGTGCAAATCCGGAGGTGAATCTCGGCGGATCCAGCTGCACCGCCAGTAGGTCTTCCACGCTCTTTAAACGAAGGCACGATGCGATATCGTCGGCTTCGATATCGCCGGGACATCCGATCTCTTCGGCGACTCGGCGCTTCACCATTAGCGGTTCTCGCTGAACCGCCCATGGCGATAGAGCCGAACCTCCAAGCAAAATCACCCTGCTGATCAACTCTGCAATTTGTTCGAAAACAAGCTCCCGCTTTAATCGTATCGATACAGCTGATAAAAAATATAAACGAAAGAATTCGAGAAATTTATCTAATTGTATTGTATACGAGGAGCATTTTATATTTAACATGTACATATACATTATGTAAATTATACTAGCGTTTTATTATTTTAAGATCCAGTATTTCGCAACATTGAATTAGTCTTTCATTATTTCGTCGTACTGAAGCTGCGTTTTCAAATATTTTGAATATTTGTCTTAAATATCTTATTAACTTGTCCCTTTTATCTTATGCTCTATATACCGTGCAATAAGCTTAGACACGAAAGGTGAATAAATCAGCTCCAATTAGCATATTCATCTTTACAGACGGTTGCGCCAACGTCAGTCAAAGTGTTTGAATGTAATCAAATCAATTTTCTCCCTTTGTAAGCAAGACTACAATTTACGGGAGGACTGCGACTGAAAGACCATTCTATCTTCGTAGTCTTATCTGTAATACGGCTAAAGGAAAAAGGATGTTATCAATCTTTCTCTAGCGAGGGGTCGATGTATCCATAAAATGAAACATAATGTAAAGCGTAAAATATATCGTCCCTTTTCCCCTGAACCAATAATAAATAAATAAAAAATCAAATCTCTCTGGACACATGTTGTCAAAAAAAAAAAATATCTCGTGACATATGTTTACACAGTTTGCGCTTCTACATAAAAACGAATGTATGAGAAACGTCAACTGCGAATGCGGTCGATGGCGCGTTAACCAACGCGTTGACTGACGTATCCAAATCCGTCGTATTTGGCCGCGAAAACGATGAAACTCACGAAACGCCTTACCTTTCGCCATAGGGGAGACGGCTAAAAAATTAGCGAGAGCCGCCCCGGTGCCGTGGCCCAGCAACGCTAGTTGCTCAGGATCGCCCCCGAAAGCGCCGAGATTCTCGCGCAGCCAGTGAAGTCCCGCCACCAAATCCATCAATCCGTAATTGCCTTGCGCGCTTCCCTTCGATCCGGTTTTCAGGAAGCCTGTTAATGTCAACGCGTCTGAATTAGGAAGGCCCATTTGCATGCACAAGTACCAAAGTACTGCATTATTATTTCACAGAAGGACGAACAGAGAGACTTTGGCTGGTTATTTCGAATAAGAAATGAAAATTACACTACTGTTCAACACAAAAGGTTTTTTTTGAACGTCGGAACGAGAAGCGTTTTTTTATAGTTTTTTAGATGCTGAATCATAATTTTGAGAATTTTTAATTAAAATTGCGAAAAAGACTATTTTCACGAACATTTCATATTATAATTATAATACGTCACGTGCTAGAGACGTTTTATTGTAATCAAAATAAATAAATATATTGTTTGGACTTTTAACCATTAAAAAGAATTTTTGATGTCGGTTATGATTAATAAAATATCCATGGTTAAATATGAGCTGTGTTGCCGAAGCTGTGATTTACTATTAGGTCATTGACGATTTACTAAATAAATCATTGAATACGAATTTAATGTCAAAATTGTCAAATTCAAAATGGTACTCAATATGGGAATGTCAAAATTTTAAAATGCTTTTTTATATAGATCCGTATTGAGTCCACCATTTTGAATTTGACAATTCTGACACTGTATTCGTATTCAGTGACCTATAGGAATAATTTGAAAACCAAATTTGTATTCAACATCCAAAAAAAAACTATAAGAAACGACTAGTCTCGTCAATATTTTTTTTGTTGAACAGTGTTATTATTGGAAAAAATTTCTCGGAGAGAAGAGAGATAATTCAGACATTTCTGGTAATAAAGTTGCCTTTCGAGGGGGCTACTTTTATCTCACATTCATTTCATCTTTCCTATGCAAATATAATCGAACAATTGAATTCTATTGCAAACAATAATTGCAAACTTTCACTAAATTAGGATCTAATTAACTTCTAGTGTTTACGCTAATAGAAAGAAATGCCTGATCTATTTAATTATTACCGAGTTTTAGTTATCGTAGTGGAACAAAAGCCAAGATATCTACATGTGTATGTAAACGTAGTATTATTGTAACAACGAGTGAGGGAGATCGGAGGATAAAGCGGATTAAAATTAAACATTTGCTCGCCGGCACTCAATTCTGCTTGCTTCAATTTACTGTACCTCGACTCTCCTGCAGGCTTGTCACTCTGATTCGCCATCTGCCTGCGAAGCGAGTTTTTCATTCCAATCCGATTCGCCTTTTAATCCCATTCACATATTCATTGGTACACTAGTGCCAAGTCTTAATTACATTCGCATTTAATATCAGAGAAATATCGTAGAGTGATACGAGTTACGTAAATAAATGTTTTCGCCGTTATATACATATTCATAAAAAAATATTTTTTTTCAGAAATATATGATAAAAGCAGATATTTTTTCTCGATAATTATCAAGTTATTAATTATGTATTTATTTATTTATTTTATCGATTCGCGTTGCAGAAATGCGGCATCGATTAAAAATACGTTTATTATTTACAAAAAAAGCTACGAGTACCAATGTAGTACGTGTTAATGTAAATACGAAAGTACATAGCACTAAACAATTAAAGAGGCACGACTAATGAGTGAAGTAGCAAGAAAAAACGGGAAAAAATGGGAATCGGCTGACCGAGCAATATTGAATAACGCTACAGGCATTGTTTCGCTTCAACGATGAACAAAACGCATACGGAACTGCAGTATAGAGGAGCGCAAAATCCCCAACTCCAGTATAGTGAAAATACGGCGTATCGATATCGAAAATTGTTCCACTGAATGCCTCGGGCTTCTTTCATGAATGGGGGAAACGGTGTTGTAAACACGTCTGCATACCTTTCGAATAATATCGCGTTGTTTATCGTTTTATGCATGATTAGACACGCACTCGAACCTTTAAACATCGCACCTTTCAAAAATATCGTAGAAAAATAAATTCAATAGATGTATAATAATGTGATGCGCGTTTATGTGAAAAACGTACGATATGAAAATCGATGTAAAATTGCAAAATGAAAATATAAATGAAAGTTTATAAATTTTGTAAGCGAATGAACGTAAAATTGTAATATTTTATTTTTCTTTCGGCGTCATAAAAAAGAGAACACACGAGAGTATCGACAAATAAATTCCGCGTTTACAGATTAATTAAAAAATAACATTATAGAGAAATCAAATAAATTCGAACGAGACGAGATTCATTCTATTTACTTATTTATTCTTTTTCGATGCGCGGAAAAATGTTAATAATATTTCACGCGGCCATTCTTGCAACGCATCGCATCGTAACTTAAATTACGTGCGCGATATTTAGCAGACACTCCAAAAAAAAAAAAAAAGTCGCGCGACCATGCGGCAAACGAGCGCGAAAATCTACTCGCACGGAAAACACCCGAACCTTACGTATCCCTTTCTTCGTCCTCATTAAACTCCCTTTGTTTCTTCCCTTTTGTTCCCATTTTTAATTTTGGCACACGCACACGCGTGACTGCCTCGGAAATGCGCGTCCCACAACTCAACTCATTGCTGTTATCCATATTCGAGAGGTGGAGAATGTCGCGTTATTAATGTCTCGACTATCGCGTAAGTAACAACCCCCGGAGGAAAAATTCCTACGTACAACCGCGCGCGCGGAAAGTAAGTAATCTGGCAAAGATCTCGACAAACTTTTTTCCCTTGACTGCCGCGAGTAATGAGATCATTCTTTTAAGTCTATGAAAGAACAAAAGAGCTAGTTGCGCCACATAAACAAAAGCAAGGTAAACTCGGCGCATTTTATAATCCGAAAACTTTCTATCAGCTCTCTTGCGCATAAAATAGCAAGCGTTATCAGATTTATTGTGCATCGTTTGCCATTGTTGTACTCTCAAGAGAGTAATTTCTTGGCGTAACACGCGCCAATTTATTGAATATCGATTCAAGTGTCAACTTGTCACTCGTCGATACAGATATGTTCATCCACTTGAGAAAATAGTTGCTTCAATCTTGCGATTTTTTGCGAAAGAAATAAGATTAAAATATTTCATAAAATTGTGTATTCTATATTTTATTATTTATTATTATTATTATTATTATTATTATTATTATTATTATTATTATTATTATTATTATTATTATTATTACTAATGCATCTTTTTCTCCTTAGATATAAGTTTTAATAAATAATGGGTAAGAGAAAATCTCGTTTTCTGACAAAGCAACGCAGCAGCAATTTTTCCGGAGCCGCCTCTGTTTTGTCTTTTCACAAACGATTGCAATAAACGCGAATGAGGTTGTAAGCGATCGAATGAAATAACCGCAAACGTTTGCAAGGCGTAGTTTGTGTTCTGAAACGGCGGAAAATTGAGATAGTTTGTCTCAATGAATAAGTATTGCCAGCTTACCAAGCACACCGAGACGAAAATTGATGGAGACGACAATGAGACGTCCGTGAGCAGCCAGGGCGGTTCCGTCGAATGAATTTCCGGCACCCCAGGAATAGGAATCGCCGTGAATGAGGAGAAGAGCTGGAAGCGCGTCTGCGATACTACCTGCAACACCAGAGAACATTCTACCACAACATCTGTTTGCGAATATGAGTCTCGATAAATGTACGAACATAAATATGATAGATGTAGAAAGTTTGTGTGTTCTCTGTAAAATAATCAACAATATATACGTATTTTGTCTGACGCTAATTGCAGTTTTATGCAATTATTCCGATTTTCTTCATCTGAGATAATAGAATATGCTAAAAACAAAAGTACTTGTCGTCAAAGCGTTAAAAATTATTGCAATCGCGTTCGAGTCGATTGTAATTCATTTATCGAATAAAAATCTACTCCTTGATTCGGCGCTGTATATATTTTCATAGTCACCTTAATTAACTCGACGTCAAATATTTATGACTTAAATTACAATTCTGTGAAATACAATCCCCTTTGATCTTAATATATTCTATGTCAAACTATGTTAATATTAGGTCATGCGAAAATGTGCACGTGAAACTGATACAACTGTAATATAATGAGTGATAATTAAACATTTCTTTAAAAATTAGGCGCGGCCAGATAAAAAAAAAAGCACCTAATCATAAAAAATTGAGGCATCTAATCAAAGAGCGGCTTTCTACAAATCGCGCGTCTCGTGAATTAATCTATATAACTCTGTATAGCTTCTACAGCTTATGCATGAATGTGATTACGAATCTGCGATATCATTATCAAATTATAGATAATAATGTCTTTTTAATC